CACAACAACAATGAATAATTAACAGATCCTAGGCCGAGTTTGCTCCCTTGGGGAGCGGTTATCTTTGCGAGAACTGTCATGCAAATTTTGAAAATATATTTTAATACGTCTGTTCTGCAAGTGAAATTTGCCTTCCTGACACAATGGGTTACAATCGACGTATGGGGAGCGAGGATCGGTTGATATATGCAACCAAGAGGTCCCAGACAAAAAGAGACATTTAGGCTCTATAATCCAACATCGAACTGGTGAGCAGAGACTGACATTGTTGCTCTCAGCCTACACTGCATGTTGGTTGGTTGGTTGTTTAACGCTGCACTCAGCAATATTCCAGCTATATTACGGCGGTCTGTAAATAATCGAGTCTGGACCAGACAATCCAGTGATTTATATCATGAACATGGATCCACGCAATTGGGATCGATGACATGCTTCAACCAAGTCAGCGAGCCTGACCACCCGATCCCGTTAGTCGCCTTTTACAGCAAGCATGGGTTACTGAAGACTATTCTATCCCGGATCTTCACGGGTCCTACACTGCAGGTATGACAATAGACAACTATGTGAATCAAATCGCCTGGTGTCCTCAAATCTGCCTCGGTTTGGTGAGCCATTGGACTGCTGCCTTTTTCAGCACAATAGATCACCTCCCCTCGCATAGCATGTCGTGAAGTCCCTATTTACATCTGATCCTCTTCCTGTCAGCTGATATGGAAATGAACCCAGGCCTTTAAGCAAAGAGCGAGAAGATTTGAAAGCTGCGATCATTGATCAAGTATAAGCAACTGAAGATAAATAAAGAAATGAAATAAGCTCAAAGAGAAAGGATATGAATATAGTTCGTTGCGACGTCACAGATCGGCAACAGAAACTAAATACAATAAAAGAAGAACAAAAAGTTATTCGACTTGACAATGATGCTGTCAACGAAAAGTTTAATGATGTTTATTATGATTTTGATGGGTTGGAATGACGAATAGAGGACCTAGAGAGACGTGGCAGGAACAATAACATTCTTATTTATGGAATTCAAGAGGGACCTTATTCAACATGTCACGACAAGACTGTAGGTGTTCTGAATTGTGCTAGAGAGACAAACAGCAATGATCCGTTACTGCCACGAGATATCGAACATGCACACAGGCTCGCTGACTTTGTTGATGCTGGATCGATGCTCATGGTGCCAATCACTGGATTGTCTGGTCCAGACTCGATTATTGACAGCCCGCCGTCAAAAAGCTGGAATATTGCTGAGTGCGGCGTTAAACAAAACAACAACAACAACAAAACGAAACAAACATTTGCTCTTTAAAACATCTGTAAAGTACTTTTCTGCTGCTATTAGTGTCTACACCTATCTGTACTCTTCGTGGTGAGTGTCATATATGGTACTGTGAAGTACTCCAGTGCTACTGCTACTGCATGTGTCAGTATATATCTGTACTCTTCGTGGTGAGTGTCATTTATGGTACTGTATAGTACTCCAGTGCTACTGCATGTGTCAGTATATATCTGTACTCTTCGTGGTGAGTGTCATATATGGTACTGTGAAGTACTCCAGTGCTACTGCTACTGCATGTGTCAGTATATATCTGTACTCTTCGTGGTGAGTGTCTTATATGGTACTGTGAAGTACTCAGTGCTACTGCTACTGCATGTGTCAGTATATATCTGTACTCTTCGTGGTGAGTGTCTTATATGGTACTGTGAAGTACTCCAGTGCTACTGCATGTATCAGTATATATCTGTACTCTTCGTGGTGAGTGTCTTATATGGTACTGTGAAGTACTCCAGTGCTACTGCTACTGCATGTGTCAGTATGTATCTGTACTCTTCGTGGTGAGTGTCTTATATGGTACTATGAAGTACTCCAGTGCTACTGCTACTGCATGTGTCAGTATATATCTGTACTCTTCGTGGTGAGTGTCTTATATGGTACTGTGAAATTTCTCCAGTGCTACTGCATGTATCAGTATATATCTGTACTCTTCGTGGTGAGTGTCTTATATGGTACTGTGAAGTACTCCAGTGCTACTGCTACTGCATGTGTCAGTATATATCTGTACTCTTCGTGGTGAGTGTCTTATATGGTACTGTGAAGTACTCCAGTGCTACTGCTACTGCATGTGTCAGTATATATCTGTACTCTTCGTGGTGAGTGTCATGTATGGTACTATGAAGTACTCCAGTGCTACTGCATGTGTCAGTATATATCTGTACTCTTCGTGGTGAGTGTCTTATATGGTACTGTGAAGTACTCCAGTGCTACTGCTACTGCATGTGTCAGTATATATCTGTACTCTTCGTGGTGAGTGTCATGTATGGTACTATGAAGTACTCCAGTGCTACTGCATGTGTCAGTATATATCTGTACTCTTCGTGGTGAGTGTCATATATGGTACTGTGAAGTACTCAAGTGCTACTGCATGTGTCAGTATATATCTGTACTCTTCGTGGTGAGTGTCTTATATGGTACTATGAAGTACTCCAGTGCTACTGCTACTGCATGTGTCAGTATATATCTGTACTCTTCGTGGTGAGTGTCATGTATGGTACTGTGAAGTACTCCAGTGCTACTGCTACTGCATGTGTCAGTATATATCTGTACTCTTCGTGGTGAGTGTCATGTATGGTACTGTGAAGTACTCCAGTGCTACTGCTACTGCTACTGCATGTGTCAGTATATATCTGTACTCTTCGTCATAAATATGGATGTGTGCATCTCTACGTTGTAATGCTGTCACAATGAAGAAATGCCACAGACGTTCAAACGTATATTGGACAATGTTATTTTTGAGAGGAGAATGTCTGGTGAGTTGTTCCCCGTAGCTATAGTCGGGCAACGCAAATAAAGGCGATAGCTGAACGATCGCATCCCAGAAAAGAAAAGGTACAGGTACTGTACGTGAGGATTGTGGGAATATGTTGGAAATTGCCGAGGTCGGATTCTGTTGAGGGAATCATCATTATTTAAAAACGGGTAAATATTTTTAAAGCCTGTATATTCCATCGTCATCCTGTACATAATGTTGATATCTCATATAAGAGGCTGTACATAATGTTGATATCTCATATAAGAATTAAATGGCTCGTGCTGGTTGTTTATTACTTTCGCGCGGCGGGGGATATAGTATTCACGACCGTCCGTACGTACGTCCGTACGTCCGTACGTCCGTCCGTACGTCCCACCTGTTTGTTGCCGCGATATCTCAAGAACTAAACACTGGATTGTCTTCATATTTGGAACTATGGTGTATATACAGACTCCGCAGACACCAGTCGGTTTTGGTGACCTTGACCCCATTTTCAAGGTCACAGCAGGCATATCTGCTTTTGGAGTTGGAAAACGGTGTTGCCGCGATATCTCAAGAACTAAACACTGGATTGTCTTCATATTTGGAACTATGGTGTATATACAGACTCCGCAGACACCAGTCGGTTTTGGTGACCTTGATCCCATTTTCAAGGTCACAGCAGACAAATCTGCTTTTAGAGTTGGAAAACGGTGTTGCCGCGATATCTCAAGAACTAAACACTGGATTGTCTTCATATTTGGAACTATGGTGTATATACAGACTCCGCAGACACCAGTCGGTTTTGGTGACCTTGATCCCATTTTCAAGGTCACAGCAGGCAAATCTGCTTTTGGAGTTGGAAAACGGTGTTGCCGCGATATCTCAAGAACTAAACACTGGATTGTCTTCATATTTGGAACTATGGTGTATATACAGACACCGCAGACACCAGTCGGTTTTGGTGACCTTGACCCCATTGTCAAGGTCACAGCAGGCAAATCTGCTTTTGGAGTTGGAAAACGGTGTTGCCACAATATCTCAAGAACTAATCGCTGGATTGTCTTCATATTTGGTACTATGGTGTACAGGCGGGGGATATTTCGTCACTCTGTGACAAATACTTGTTGTACAATTAAAACACTCCCACTCGTAGATTATTACTTAAATATACAATAGAGAAAAAAGATAAAGGCACAAAAATATTGAGTTCGTTGAAGTATGAACCTTCTTGGAGTTGGGCTGGAGTGTTAAACTGTATGAACCTCTGTTGGCATTGTTCCATTAACATACATTCAATTTAAAGTTTCCACATTATACAGCCGTTCCATTGGAAGGGAGGCCGGTCACATGACCGCAAAACTGACGTTCATAAGCGTACGAACAACATAATTTGACATTCATACGTTTTTCAGGAGACTGTATCCTTGAAATGACATAAACACATACGAACTCCGTCCACATTCCTGGAGAAACCCCGGGGATTTCCCTTACACGAATACACACAAAAGTGTTATTTTTGATCATTTAGATTTTTTAATCTTGAGCAGCATAGATTGAGAAACGTCAGAGAGTTTGACTGCATGATTGTTCACGAATATCCTCGCTTCGGTCCATCCCAGTGATCAAAACGTAGAAATGCTCATCCTAAATCGTAGTATCGACTCAATCCGTGTCTCGACAGACAGTTACCGTCTACGGCAATCTAAACATTTACCTTAGTATCGATTTTACCAGACCTTAAAATCACCTTTCAAAAATGGATCAACTGATCAATGATGACCAACACGTGTAACCGCCACAGGTTCATCAACAACTTCGAAAATCTCTCCCGTCAGGTTTATCGTGTCGGCCATTTTGATGTCTTGTACTTGATGTTAATGCATTACGACGCAATGTGATTGTGACTGACTTACTTGGGTAGTTCTTAACATATCTTTCCGAGCCAATGAGTATATTCCTGTGAGGCAAGATGAGCATACACACGGCCATGTCACTTTTGTTTTTCGGGAACAATTTTATTCCTCGATACAGCTGGTTGGTGTGTGGCTGTCAGTGTAAATATGACGTCACAAGTATAGATCTACATCCCTCGAGGTATGAAATAATGACATAAAAATTATAAAAATTGACTTTCACTTCGTGAGTTTATTGGAGTATGAATTTTCGTACAAAGTGAAAATCAATTCTTAAATCAAGTGCAGAAAATCAATTACTTCTCATCCAACATGCATTTCGAGGGAATCTATGTTTAACATTATTCACCCTCTAAGGTTTAATGTTTTCATGACATATATATGGAATGTGAAGTGTGTGAAGAGAATGATGCAAATTTCTTACCAAAAAAATAAACAGTCAAGGTCTGGTATTAACAGGGGTGATAAAGGGTCTTCTTGATCAGGCACAATAGTAATGTTGGAGAAAATTTCAAATTGGGACCACTTGATCTTGTTTTTTTTTCATGTTCTCACAAGCAATGTGACAACAGCCCATTCTGTAGCATAATCTCAGGGAAGCTACGACATTGGGTATCAATTCGTGTGAAAATAACTGAAAACTTGAAAAACTTTATTGAAACTAAGACAAGTACGTTTAATCCGTCAACGGAATGGGAAAATAAATACAATCTTCAATTAGTTGACTATATTCCATTTCATTGGTCGGTAGGAGTGGCAGAGATCGTAGCTATGTTTTGACTTCCATTTCACAAATAAAATTAGCAGTCTTGTTACAATTTTCATCATTCCATAGATAGCTTTCATATCTCTGTTTGATATCCAGACAGTGTTCAATCCCAGCACTATTATCAGGTTGGCCTGTACTCCAGTTGCTGTAATCCATGGCCTGTTGGCCCTCCCAGAGCCATGTTCCTTCTACGTTCAGGTCGGTAGCACCAAGCCAGTAGTTAGCAGCTGCAATGAAGGAGAAGATGGATAGAGCAGATCACAACAACACATGATAGTTTATATGTGTGTGTGTGTCATAAAAGTATGTGCTATTTCCTGACCTTCCTTATCATATGAGGATAGTATTTGAATATATTTGTTGTTAACAAACTACAACATATCTTCCTGTAGAGCAGGTTGACCATACATACGCTCATATCACCTCTCTTCTTGAAGAACTTACTTTATTCCGTGATACAGCTGGTTGTTGTATGGCTATTAGTGTAAACATAAATTTGCACGTACTAAAGAAAATTGTATATAGATCTAGGCTTACATCCTTCGAGGTAAAAGGTAGTGATATAAAAACTATAAGAATTGTCTTTCACATTGTGTGAGTTCATTGGAGTATGAACCTTCATGGAATGAGGGGTTCCAACGTTCATACAGTTTGGCACTCCTTCTATGAAGGTTCATACTCCAATGAACTTGTTTAGAACGTGGTATTCATTATATTGGTGGGCATTTCATTTTGTGTATCTTTGACAAAATGGGAACGTGAACTTAATATGGAGTTGCAGTTGAGTTGACGTGATTGTCATGCAACAGGCAAGCCCATCATGACTGATCCTCCACCAAAGGGACAGTGCCTGTTGTCGTCCAACCAGTCTCCGTGGGCTCCAGCCACGTCTCGACAAACTCCATACCAAACGGTCGCTGTGATAACGATCTAATAGTATAGGATGCTTGACCACCATCAATGTGATAAAACCTATTAATGAGAGTCTGTGGGACATCCGATCGCCTCTTTGGTCTGGTGGTAGAGTGTCCATCCGGAGAGTGGAAGGTCCGGGGTTCGATCCTCGACCGCGCATACCGAAAGACGTTAAAAGATTGTACTTGTTGTTACCCTGTCTTGCGCTCGGCATTAAGGGGCTATAACAAGGACTGGCTCGGAGTCAGTATACTATGTCTGAGTGGGGTATTCATGTGTAACTGCCGCATGGTATCTCAGTGAGGTAGCACTATAGATCGGCATCAGTCCGGACTAGAACAAGCAGCCACACACCTGTGGGACATCCATATCTCCTTCACAAAGGTGCTTGTGGCAACGGGTTGTCGCCTAACCAGATTTTCGCGTGCTGACTTTACACACATCCTTTACCTCATTGGTTACCGAATGTTCTGTGCCAGTCCACTTATAACCTAATAGTGGTAACTGATCGAGCTGACGACCAACCTTTTCGCATGAAATTCCCGCATTAACAATACCTATTGTTCACCACATTAGGTCAGATCGCCTTCGAGGTATGTTGAACAAGGATCGGAAATACAGTTCAGAATCATTTCAAATATTGCTGAATGTAGCCTCGATATGAAAAGCTATGAAATCTTTTAAATACAATTTCTAAACTACAAACTAACATGCCACACTATAACTGAAATACTGCTAAAAGCAATGATAAACCACTCACTTGATAACATTTACATATGTTTTTAACAGAGGCTTATCTGTATATATTCAAACCATATCAAAAGAATGGTTATCACAGAAATTACACTGATGTGAATGTGTTAGTCAGCTAAGCTTTACTTCCCCAGACTTAATGCTTTCAATACAGATTAATAATGGGCAATTTCTACTTGAGGCTGGTCCATATTGATCCATAGTATGATAATACTGGTGATATATCTTGCCAATATAGTTTCCCATAAACCACAATATCTTTATAACACGGGATGTTATACACATTTACAATAAAAATCATCAGTACTTAATGATGAACTAAATGAACAAACTCACAACACAACACTGCCCGGGAATGTAAAGCTGTGAGGTCATTCACCTATATATTGCACGTGAATGCTGTTCTAACTCACCTCGTCCACGGCTGTATGCATAGCATCTGACAAAGTCATCTTCATCTTTGCTGGTCACTTTGGCGAGGTGACTTCCAAAGTATTGACAGTAGGACTGTAAGTATTATATTACGTTACAACTGTATTTACTTAGAACACGAAGACGTCAACATTTACACTGATACCTATATGTACATATGTAAAATCATCCAGACAGCAGATGAAATGGCAGTAGGGAGATTATAGATATAAACAAAACCTTTTTTGGCTTACTAAATCAGTTAAGATCTGAACTCAATACATGCCTTTATCTATGGGGGGTAGGTTATTGGCAGGATAAAGCATGAAATATGGTAAGGTAAGTTCTACTTTCTGCATTTACAAACAAACATGGTGCCTCCCTTGTGTGTGGGGTGTGGTAGCGGCCTGTTACAAACATACATGTAGATAACATTGGAATCAGCGAGGACTGATGGGTGTAGGTTTTCATACCTTTTTCTTGCAGGTGTCTCAGGCTTCGGGTCTTTTCAGAATTTAAACCGGTTTGAAAAAAACAACAACACATGCCAAATGCAGTACAATTTCGAAACGGAAATTTCTTTGCTTCAAATTACTTTAATAACAAACCTAGACTGACTACGGTTTAATGACATCACCAAAGTACAACTTTCAGACAGAAGGTCCCATATCTGAAGATGTCTTGATAAAAGAAGCTGCAAGCACGTTTGGTTTAACATCACTATTGCTCTGAGAAAAAACTATGACCAACGCAGGACAACTTTAAAACAGAAAGGCCTGTACTAATGACCTTAATAACTAGAATATCTAGAAAGGTGTTTGCAGCCCCATCTAAACCTTTTCCGCAGTCTCCACCAGAAACCCCTCAGATAAAGATACATATAACAAAATCACGAAAGAAGTAACCACTTCAATACAGCCTTTGTCGTATACTTGATAAGTTTTCGGGAGATAAAGCTAATGGATTAACAAGAAACATGTCATACCATAATAAGGGGTTTGAACACAACATAAAAAGGCAGACATGCCTAAAAATTGCCACTCCAGTGAGCGTAACGATCAAAGAAGGACTTAAGAATGAACTTAACCTTCACTATCAAATTTTTGCATTTTAAGGACATACCAAAGGACAATCCAGCAAAGCGAACGCAATTTGGTCCCTTGATTTAATTCAATGTGGCAATATGAACCTAGCATGTGCTTCTCACTAAATCTCATTATTAAGTTATCGTTTGTGATACATGAATAGTCAAACGTTAAAGCTATTACACGCAATAATATTTGCAAGAAAAGTCATGGCAAAACCCATCTACGAGTAATCTGTTCTGTGCTATTACCTTACACGACCTAATCTGAAGTGAGCCCCCCCCCCCCCCCCCCAAGAAAACCAACTACAACAAACAAACAAACAAACAAACAAACAAACAAACAAACAAAAACAAACAAAAACAACAACAAACAAACAAACAAACAAACAAAAACAAAACAAAAACAAACAAAAACTTCCGGCTATGACCCGCATGATGACCTTGACCCTTGTTGCGACAGTATGTCAAAACCAAAGTGCTGTAAGATATGGGGCAACGTTTTTACCAAGAGTTGCACTTCAATATTCAAAGTAATTTTTACAAAGTAAAGTGTTAAAAATGTGACATAAGATGTTAAAAGATACTCTTCCTTAATCGAAGTTAGGGGAAATTATGTAAACATATATATTAAAATGAACTTGTCAGAAAATCAAGGAAATTACCTGACACCTAATTCTTACCCTTGCCTCAGCAAAGTTCGCCATTATCTTGGAGAACCAATAGCAGGATTTCTTGTGTTCCACGAATCCCAGGGGACATATCGAGTTAACTGCAGCAACTGATGCAAGTGTGAACAGCAGCACAGATGTTGTTTCGTGTCTCATAGCTTAATGTGGACAGACTGATGTTTCTGTTACAGTACAACAGCGCTCTGTGTAGATGGTTCAAGTAATTCAACCTTTATATAATTCTATAGGGAAGGTGATCTTGGATACTTCATATGTTGTTGAAACGATCATCTACATGAAACAACACCTGGTGACATAACTGCATAATGAGGTTTCAGCAGCATGCAGCATATGTTCACTCCCATGGACATGACCCTATCACTGTATTGCTTTTGCCCTCCAGGGATAGTATGACTGACAAGCCTGTATAGACTTTCATTGCCTGGGAGGCGTTAAAACTTGCCTGTGACAGTTACGCACACGCGCTGACAGAATGATTGAAATAGTCACTGGGTGATGATTAAAATTATTTTTATACACATTAATGTTTAAAAGGTTATAACCTGAGACTCATAGATTGTCAACGCAAATAGGCACTTCTCTATAGCTAACATTCACCAGGTGACATTGGCATGCAGTAACAGTTTATACTTTTTCACAGCATACCATCTACTGTGTTCAAGACCACATTATTACCCATAATATTGTAACCAATGTCATGTACATGCACCGATGATTCCCATGACATACGTATCAGTGATACAGACTTTAATAGATTTATGTACATATAGTGTCACAAGACCAACTTGCATGACTCAGGCAAAAGAGATGTCACAGACGTTCAAACCAGAAATGGTATCTTCCTTTTTATGAAAGTGGGATATAATGACCATTATTATCAACACTTTTGCTGAAGTATTTTGGCTGACATCATCGCCAAGCTAGGGTTTGCTTTTTTGACAGTGTGGAGTTGAGCATTGTAAAGGTTGGATATTGTTACCTAAATTGTATGATGAAGCTGAAGAAGCGTCGGGTAATAACTACCATGCATTTATCATCAATCCTCCACAGTGATTCACGAAGGGCCATCTGTTCCACGCTTACAAGCTGCGTGGAAAATCGCTAAAAGGCAAACAAAAGCCAATAATGTGTTAAGTGAGCTTATTAGGGGGAAGGGGGTGTCTGGGGTATAGGGAAAAATCGTTCACTCAACATGCTGAGTTGTCTTTAAGAAAATTCCAAATAAAATTACATACTAATATTCAAATTCTTGGCTCAACCTTTCAGAAAATAAATTGAGTGTTTTGCACGAATACATACAAAAGCCTTGTTTCCGATCATTTAGACCCTTTAATCTTGAACTCAGCTTTTAACACACATTGAGAAACGTCAGAGAGTTTGACTGCATGATCGTTCACGAAGATCCTCGCTACTGTCCTTCCTAGTGAACAAAATGTAGAAATGTACACACGAACTATCGTAGAATCGATACGATTCGTAGACAGATACAGTCTATACAGCAATCTATGCATTTACCTTGGTATTTTACAGTTTACATTGATTATCTTTAGTACAGTCGTAATCGGTAAATACATCACACATAGAGTGCAATCTGTATATGAGTAAGAATACTTTCTCTGCCTGCTTTGCCACCACCTGTCTCGATCTCAACCAAACTACATTAGGTATTAAATACAGACCCAAATAGTTATCTATCTCTCCAAACGTAGTTTGTATAGGGTGTCAGCAACATGTCACCGACTCTATCCATAAGCTTAGTGTTAATACTCACAAGAAATAGGAAAGTGATCACATGCGTCCAGACTCAGCACCCTGAAGTCTGTGACATGCTCGAACAGAGCTGAGGTACCAACCTATAAATCCTCGCTACTGCCCTTCCTAGTGAACAAAATGTAGAAATGTACATACGAACTATCGTAGAATCGATACGATCCGTAGACAGATACAGTCTACACAGCAATCTATGCATTTACCTTAGTATCTATCTGACACATCTTCACAATCACCTTTAAATGATCGGCCAACTGATCATTGATGAGGAACACATGAAACCGCCACAGGTTCATCAACAACTTCGGAAATCTCTCCTGTCACGTTTATCGTGTCGACCATTTTGACGTCATGTACTTGATGTAACTGTATTACGATGCGCTGTCATTGTGATTTTTTTTGTAAACAACTTTATGTCAAGTTAGAGGCCACAGACCCATAGAACAAAACATTAAAGGAATACAATTTCTGATAGAGTGACACTTATACACCTTCATTGCATTAAATATGGATTTTGATAACATTACAATAGTAGGTGTATGATTACAAGCCATCAGGCCATAAAAGCAGTTTTCTTGCATTTTCGACAGAACTTTAGTTTTTAACATACCTTTCTCACTCAATGATGATATTATTTGAATACATTTGTTGTAAACAAACTTCAACAAATGTTCATGTAAAGCAAGTTGAGCATACATGCCAGGTCTGTTTTTCGGGAACAATTCTATTCCGCGATACAACTGGTTGTTGTATGTGTGTCAGTATTAACATGTCACACGTATAGATCTAGCGCTACATCCCTTAAGGTAGAAAATAGTGACATAAAAATAATATTAAAAAAATTACAAAATTGATTTTCACATTGTGTGAGTCTTTTTTAGTATGAACAGTCGTACAAAGTGAAAATCAATTCTGCATTTCGAGAGCAGAACCATCCGTTTTTAACATTATTCACCCTCTTAGATTTCATGTTTTCTATGGAATGTTTAATATTATTCACCCTCTTAGATTTGATATTTCCTATGGAATGTTTAATATTATTCACCCTCTTAGATTTGATGTTTTCTATGGAATGTTGAATATTATTCACCCTCTTAGATTTGATGTTTCCTATGGAATGTTGAATATTATTCACCCTCCTAGATTCGATGTTTTCTATGGAATGTTGAATATTATTCACCCTCCTAGATTTGATGTTTCCTATGGAATGTTAAATATTATTCACCCTCTTAGATTTCATGTTTTCTATGGAATGTTTAATATTATTCACCCTCCTAGATTTGATGTTTTCTATGGAATGTTGAATATTATTCACCCTCCTAGATTCGATGTTTTCTATGGAATGTTGAATATTATTCACCCTCTTAGATTTCATGTTTTCTATGGAATGTTAAACATTATTCACCCTCCTAGATATGATGTTTTCTATGAAATGTTTAACATTATTCAACCTCCTAGATTTGATGTTTTCTATGGAATATGAAGTGTGTCTTTTACAAAAGAATTTTCACACATTTGGACCACTTCATGTTTCTTCTTGTGGTGGTGTGATGGTGTTATGGGTGTGATGGTTGTGATTGTTGTGATGGTGTGGTGGGTGTGATGGTTGTGATGGTGTGATGGTATGATGGTGTGATGGTGTGATGGGTGTGATGGGTGTGGTGGTGTGGTGGGTGTGATGGTGTGATGGGTGTGATGGGTGTGGTGGTGTGGTGGGTGTGATGGGTGTGATGGCGTGGTGGTGTGATGATGTGATGGTGTTATGGTTGTGATGGGTGTGATAGATGTGGTGGTGTGGTGGGTGTGATGGTGTGGTGGGTGTGATGGTTGTGGTGGTGTGGTGGGTGTGATGGTTGTGATGGTGTGGTGGTGTGATGGTGTGATGGTGTGATGGTGTGATGGGTGTGGTGGTGCGATGGTGTGGTGGTGTAGTTGTTTTGGTGGGTGTGGTGGTGTAATGGGTGTGGTGGTGTGGTGGCGTGGTGGTGTGGTGGGGTGATGGGTGTGGTGGTGTGATGATGTGGTGGTGTGAAGGTGTGATGGTGTGATGGGTACGATTGTGTGGTGGTGTGATTGTGTGATGGTATGATTGTGTCGTGGTGTGATGGTGTGGTGGTGTGATGGTGTGGTGGTATGATGGTGTGGTGGTTCGATGGTGTGGTGGTATGATGGTGTGGTGGTGTGATGGTTGTGGTGTTGTGGTGCTGTGGTGGCGTTGTTGTGTGATGGATGTGGTGGTGTAATGGTGTGGTGGTGTGATTGGTATGATGGTGTGGTGGTGCGATGGTGTGGTAGTGTGATGGGTATGATGGTGTGGTGGTGTGATTGGGGTGATTGGTTTGGTGGTGTGGTGGTATGATTGGTGTGATTGGTGTGGTGGTGTGGTGGGTATGATGGTGTGGTGGTGCGATGGTGTGGTGGTATGATTGCGTGGTGGTGCGATGGTGTGCTGGTATGATGGTGTGTTGGTGTGATGGGTATGATGGTGTGGTGGTGTGATGGGTATGATGGTGTGGTGGTGTGATTGGTTTGATTGGTGTGGTGATGTGGTGGTTTGATTGATGTGATGGGTGTGGTGGTGTGATGGGTGTGATGGGTGTGGTGGTGTGATGGGTGTGGTTGTGTGATTGGTGTGATGATGTGGTTGTGCGATGGTGTGGTGGTGTGATGGGTGTGCTGAGGTGTTGGTGTGATTGTTGTGTTGATGCAATTGTGTGGTGGTGTGATTGGTGTGATGATATGATGGGTGTGATGATGTGGTGTCGCGATGGTGTGGTGGTGTGATGGGTGTGGTGATATGATTGGTGTGGTGGTGCGTATTTGCTGTGGCGTTGTGGTGCGATGGTGTGGTTGTGTGATGGGTGTGATGAGGTGGTGGTGTGATTGGTGTGATTGGTGTTGTGGTGCTATGAGTGTGGTGGTGTGATGGTTGTGGTGGTGCGATGGTGTGGTGGTATGATGGCGTGGTGGTGCGATGGGTATGATGGTGCGGTGGTGAGATGGTGTTGTCGTGTGATGGTTTGGTGGTGTGATTGGTGTGATGGTGTGGTGGTGCAATGGTGTAATGGTGTGATGGGTATGATAGTGTGGTGGTGTGATGAGTGTGATTGGTGTGGCGGTGTGGTGGTTTGATTGGTGTGATGGGTATGGTGGTGTGATGGGTATGATGGTGTGGTAGTGTGATGGGTGTGGTGGTGTGATGGGTGTGGTTGTGTGATTGGTGTGATGATGTGGTGGTGCGATGGTGTGGTGGTGTGATGGGTGTGCTGAGGTGGTGGTGTGATTGTTGTGGTGATGCAATTGTGTGGTGGTGTGATGGGTGTGATGATATGATGGGTGTGATGATGTGGTGTCGCGATGGTGTGGTGGTGTGATGGATGTGGTGGTGTGATGGGTATGATGATATGGTGGTGTGATGGTGTGATTGGTGTGGTGGTGTGATTGGTG